CAATTTCCTTGTATCAGGGAAGACAATAAGTCATAGTATGATAGCCTTCCAAACACAAATCAGCCCATTTCAGTCAGTTTTAATGCCCCAGCCAACTTCAAGAAGTTAATACCCAGCATTGGGTATTACCTTCTGGGCAGGAGTCATTTGTTATGTACAGTAGTAAGTACCACGGTATTTTTCTCAAGCTGATCTTAGATGATTTTCTAGTCAAGGTTGGTATTACTCTGCTAGAAGTAACACCAAGTCTAAGACAACTGCAAGTAATGAATGTTAGATATTATCACCGCTGTGTAGTAAGCATCTGGAACAGGCATGCAAGAACCACAACCTGGAAATCAGAATTCTTTGAGCCTCTGAGGCACACACATTCTAAAAATTCTTCAACCTGAAAATATTGTGGCAAATCAGCCCCAGTTCCAACTAACCAAGAGGCAATGAGCAAAGTAGTGGATAACTAAAAATGTTGCAAAAAAAAAAAAAAAAAAGTTGCAACAACTTCATTGGCCCTGGGAAGCTTATAATATTGTGAAATTTGTAATATTAAATTGGATAAAGATTCATCCATGTACTTTTGCATCACCCCAGAAGTCCTTTTCAGTCCATTCCAACTATTAAAGGTGTTCTTATGGTAACTCCCATTTTGTGGCCCATTTCTAGAATAAACTGTCCAGGGTACTCGATATCTATTTAGCCCCCAAACCATATGAAGCATGGTTATTAACTGGGTGGATGAAGAACCTCCTCTGTTTACCTTCTACCAACAAAATGATGTAGTCTACTACCTTGCCACAGTGACGCTTGCTTATAAAGAGCTCGTTGCATCCCTCTACCTTAGGGGTGTCGAACTCAATCAGAGAAGGGGCCAAAATCTAAAATCCAGCCTAAATCACGGGCCGAATGGTTTACTGAACAGTCATAAACTGTCATTGTGATGGAAACGCAGTGGAGTGCAGTGAAGACAGTGCGGTGCGGGCCACATTGTAAGGCCTGGCGGGACGGATTTGGCCCGCGGGCCGTGTGTTTGACACATGTGCTCTACCTGAAACATGCCCACGCCTTCTCACAGTCTGTGGCATGATTCTTACCTACCCGTCACCACTCTTCACCTCAGGTGGCTTTCAAACTTGGAAGCTTCGAGAAACTAGTTACCCAAAATATCTTCCAGCCTGCAAAGACTGATGTGAGGAGTACGTCAGTGGGTGCTTGATTCAGGAAGGCACCCATATGGGTGATATTGTCCAGCACATCTCCAAGCACATTATAACCATCCATATGGGAACTTGGGAATCTACTATTTGGAAACCTATAATAGAGAATATCATCTGGCTGTACCCTTAAGGAAGATCCGTCTGAGGCCTTAGGACCAGATGAAGAGCTCCCACTTGTCACCTGCATCCAGACCAATAGTTACTACAGCCCAGATCCCATTGCTCACTAGCAATACGTTCCTGCTCTTTCTCTCCAGTTTACATCTGCTTACTCCCATTCCCTACTCTCCCAAAGTCAAACCACCAAACTCAAATGACACTGCTCCCATGAACTAGCCCCTCTCATTGCTGTCAACTGTGATGAAGCACAGATCAGCACCCTGGGCAGCCCAGGCTTCCAGAACTCTAGAGAGGGGATTCAGACAGTGTCCCACCCTGGCTGTGTTATCATCTCAGAGAATAATAGAGGCACTTCCATAGGAGTGCAAAAGGGAGGGAGGAGAGGCAGAGTAGATGGAGTGGGGCCAAGCCATGATGAAGGGGGAAAGCAGGAGCGGGGGAAGAACTTCAGAAAAGAAGTGGCATCCTCACCCTCCACCAGAGGTGAGGCAGCAATCTCAACAATTTTCAGAGAGAATGGTCATTTTCATCCAGTTCCTGACGGCTCAGGATTCAGAAGGGTAAGCCAAAGTCTACTTAAGCAGAACATGAATTTGTTAAAAGAGTATTGGTGGGATTATATCAAACGAAAAAGCTTCTGCATGGCAAATAAACAACAAAATGGAAAGACAACCTGCAGATGAGAGAATATTTGAAAACCATGTATTTTGATAAAGGGTTAATACCAAAAAAAAAAAAATAAATAAGAAACTCTTATAACTTTAGGAGGGAAATCTGATTATTATAAAAAATGGGCAAAGGAATTCAAAAGACATTTCTCCAGCGAAGACACAGAAATGGCCAACAAGCATTTTATTTTTTTTAAATATATTTTATTGATTTTTTTACAGAGAGGAAGGGAGAGGGATAGGGAGTTAGAAACATCAATGAGAGAGAGTCATCGATCAGCTGCCTCTTGCACACCCCCTACTGGGGATATGCCAGCAACCAAGGTACATGCCCTTGACCGGAATCGAACCCGGGTCCTTTCAGTCCCCAAGCCGACGCTCTATCCATTGAGCCAAACCGGTTTCGGCCCAACAAGCATTTTAAAAGTTCATTAATCATAAAAAAAAAAAAATGCAAAATAAAACCACAATAAAATAACACTTCACATGTTTAAAAACAAACAAACATGAAAGATAAGTGTTGGTGAAGATGTGGAGAAAAGGGAACTCCCGTACACTGTTGGTGGGAATGCAAATTGGTGAAGCCATTATAGAAAACAGTAAGTTCCTCCAAAAATTAAAAATAGAATTACCATATGATCCAGCAATTCTATTTCTGGGTATATAGACAAAGGAATTAAAATCAGGATTTCAAGTTGATTTATGCACTCCCATATTCACTGCAATGTTATTCACAATACCCAAGACATGGAAGCAACATAAATGTCCACAATGCATGAACAGATCAAAAAAATGCAGTGTATGTATACAGTGGAAATCTGCCATTTGCAATAACATGGATGAACCTGGAAGACACAGAAGGCCAAATTCTACATGATACCATTTATATGAGGAACTTAAAATTATCAAACTCAGAAGCAGAGTAGGATGGTGTTGCCAGAGGCTAGGCCAAAGGACATGGGGGTGGGGGGGGGGCAGTAGTCAAAGGTTCCAGTTCCAGCTCTACAAGATGAGTAGTAAGCCCTGGAGATCTAAGCAGCACAGAGCTTGTAGTTCCATTGTATTACAGATTTAAAAGTTTGCTCAGAGGGTAAATCTTGTTCAATGTTCTTATCGCAAAATAACACTAAAGAGGGTGTGAGGAAATCTCTGGAAGGAGTATAAATGTTTATGGTATAGATTTTAGTGATGATTTCATGGGTGTGTACTTACCTCCAAACTCATTAAGTTGTATAAAATATGTACAACTTTTTATGTCAATTACACAACACAGTTTAAAAAAAATAGTTTTTTAAAAGTATTTGAAAATAAAAATATATTTTTAATTTTAAAAAGAAGCAAAGAATATTGGGAAGCACATAAAAGCTGTAGAAGGAACAGAGAACCAAGCCTGATGGGTAGTAACCAGGAACACTGTTCCAAATCATGCTGCAGACCTGGCGGGGCACAACTACTGCACTCAACGCTAGGGTCAGCACCGCTGGCACCAAGGACTCTGAGCCCTCCATGCTGCTGCTGCAGACAAGCCCTTTCACTGCTGCAACTTCCCATCCATAGAGAAAGGCTTTACATACCCCTGCTTTTTTGCAACTTCATCTTTGATTCAAAATATGGAACAGATGTATTTGATTGGCCTAGCCAAACCCTCTGCCCAGGCCCTAGCTGTAAGAGCGGCTAAGTACCGTAGCCCAGCGATTTTCAACCTTGTTCGTCTCATGGCACACAGAAATTACTAAACACCTGCGACACACCAAAAAATGTATTTTTTTGCTGATCTGACAAAAAAAAAATGTATAATTTTGATTCATTCACAACAAACAGCTATTGTTGTGTTGGCTGTTATCATTTTTGTATTGGACAATCTAAGGGAAAAGAGGTCAATGGCCCCGACTAAATAGTCAGGTATTGCATGTTTTACAAACTCTTGCAGCACACCAGTGTGCCTCGTGTCCCCCAGCACACTGGTTGAAAATCAGTGTCTTAGTCTGTTCAGGATGCTATAACAAAATACCATAGACTGGGTGGCTTATAAACAACTGAAATTTATTTCTCATTCTTATGGAGGCTGAAGTCCAAGAACGGGGTGCCAGCATGGTCGGGTGAGGGTCCTCTTCCAGGTCGCAGACTTTACTTTGTGTCCTCACATGGCGGGAGGGGTGAGGGAACTCTCTCAGGCCTCTTTTATAAGGACACTAATCCCACTGATGAAGGCTCTGTCCTCATGACCTAATCACCTCCCAAAGACCCCACCTCCAAATACCATCACTTTGGGCATTAAATTTTCAAAGTATAAATTTGGAGAACACAAACATTCAGGCCATTAGCACTGGGTAAGGAAGATCTGGTCTTTTCAGCTTAGTGATATATAGGTTTTGCCTTATAGGGGATTCCCAAGCCCTCATAAGAATACTGGATCTACACTCTACTACTCTGTCCTACCCCCGCCCCCCCTACTCTCCACTAGCCCCATCCTGCCCTTTCCACTATACTCAGCACGAATCAGGCTCCAAATCAATAGCAAGCTGAGCTCTCTCTCATACTTTTAACACTTGCTGTCCTGCTGCCTAAAATGTTCTTTCTGATTCTACCATGTCTCACAGACTCCTCCTTACCCTCCAAGACTCAGCTCAAACAAAGCTTTCCCTATAAAGCAAATAAAGCTCTGCAAATACGCCAGTCCCCAAAACGGACTGTCTAGCCAGATTAAGTGCCTTTTTCACCTGCACTAATCCTAAATATCTATACCTTGATTCCAGCAGGAAGCCACTCAGAGCCCAGGAGATAGGGAGGAGCAAGAAAGTGGGGAAGAAGGTCTCTTTATCTCAGGATTCTCTCACCCTCCCCTCTGTCATGGGCATTGTGACTTGACTCCTGAGATGACAAAAATGGAGAATCGGATGTGTGTGGCTGGGAGAGAACCCTGCCATGTGTGTGGATGGCATGGAGAGTAGAGGCTCAGAGAATCAAATAGTCCCATTTGTCAAATCTGATCTCGTTTCAGACCACAAGGAACTGGTGCCCACAAAGCTTCCCCCGATTATTTCAAAAGATGGGAATTATTCTGTGCACCAGAATAGCCACACAAAGTACCACGAAGCTGTGCGGAAGGTGTTGCTAAAGACATGTAAGTATCCCTGGGTGGGCTACGTCTTAAGTTCCTAAAAAATGGTCGGGATGAGGTGGGGCATGTTATAAGGCAGGGAATAAAAAGAACCAAGGTGAGAGACTGAGAAGATGAGGGAGAAAGTAGATCTGAGTGGTGGAGTGAGCAAGATAAAATAAAAATTGAATCAGACTTGAAGGCAGAAGGTCCAGGTTTGAGTCCAGTTCTGCCTCTCTTAAATGTCTCAACTTGAATAGTCACTTATTCTTAAGTAACCTGTTTTCTCATTCATAAAAAAAAAAAAAAAAAAAAAAAAAAAAAAAAACCACCACAAGAAACGGAAAATACCTGCTCTACTAATCTTACAGAATTGCTATGAGGATCAAACCAAAAGTGTGACAATTTAGGAATAGTAGTTGTATATTATTATGTGCTATGCCTCCGAGGAGTGGTAGACCAAGCTCTAGCTTTGGAATCTGAACTGAGTTGAAGTTCCAAACAAGTTGTGTAACCTTGAGAAAATTCTTTTAAACATTTAACTGCTCCAAATCATCTGGAAATGGGAACAATACTCTAGCACTGTGTGAAAGTTAGAAAAGATGTACACTTCAAAAAGCATCTAGAACAAACTACTGATACATTTGATAACTTGTAGGAATCTCCAGAAAATTATGCTATGTAAAGAAAGGTGATCCCTGAAAGAGCACATACTGTAGGATGCTGATTACATGAAATTCTTTTTTTCTTTCTTTCTTAAAAATATGGAATGCTTCACAAATTTGCATGTCATGCTTGCTAATCTCTATATCATTCCAATTTCAGTATTTATGCTGTGGAAGCGAGCACTGTAACATTCTTTTAAAAAATATATTTGTAGCTGAAACTGGTTGGCTCAGTGGATAGAGCATTGGCCTGCGGACTGAAGGGTCCCAGGTTCGATTCCGGTCAAGGGCATGTACCTTGGTTGCAGGCACATCCCCAGTGGGGGGGTGTGCAGGAGGCAGCTGATCGATGTTTCTAGATCTGTCCTTCTCCCTTCCTCTCTGTAAAAATAAAAAAAAAAAAAAATCAATAAAAAATATTTTAAAAAAATAAAATAAAATAAATTTGTATTGATTTCAGAGAGGAGGGGAGAGAGGAGATAGAAACATCAGTAATGAGCGCCGAAACCGGTTTGGCTCAATGGATAGAGCGTCGGCTTGGGGACTGAAAGGTCCCGGGTTCGATTCCGGTCAAGGGCATGTATCTTGCTTGTGAGCATATCCCCAGTAGGGGGTGTGCAAGAGGCAGCTGATCGATGACTCTCTCATCTATGTTTCTAACTCTCTATCTCTCTCCCTTCCTCTCTGTACAAAATCAATAAAATATATATTATAAAAAAAAAAAAAAAAGAAACATCAGTAATGAGAGAGAATCACTGATTGGTTGCCTCCTGCACACCTCACACTGGAGGCTGAGCCCGCATTCAGGGAGCAACCTGGGCATATGCCGACCAGGAACCAAACCATGACCTCCTGGTTCATGTTGATGCCCAACCACTGAGCCACACCGGCCAGGCAAGCACTATAACATTCTTTTAAAAATTACGTAAATGAAGAAAAGATCATTGATTACCAATGTCGGGGGTCTGGAGGTGGAGGATGTGGCTATACAAGGGCAACTTCAGGATCATGTAGTGTTATATTATGTTAATACCATGGCTGTGATATTGTACTAGATCGTTTTGCAAGATGTTACTATTGGGGGGCAATGGGTAAAGGATACACAGGATCACTGTGTATCGTTTCTTCCAACTATGTGAGTCTATAATTATTTCCAAATTAACATCTAATTTAAAAAACTGTAAAGCTTTCAGAAATTAAAAAGGACATCCATGGCTGGTATAGCTTAGTTGGTTGGGCATTGTCCCATGCACTGAAGGATTGTCAGTCTGATTTCTGGTCAGGGCACACGCCAGGTTTCAAGCTTGATCCCTGGTAGGGCATGTGCAGGAGGCAACTGAAAATGTTACATTCTCACACTGATGTTTCTCTTTCTCTTTCTTTCTCTCTTTCCCCCTCTCTTCCTCTCTCTTTAAAAACCAATAGGAACCAAATTATTTTAATGACATACATGGCCCAGCCAGCATAGTTCAATGGTTGAACATCGAACTATGAAACAGGAAGTCACAGTTTAATTCCCGGTAGGTTGCAGGCTTGATCCCCAGTAGGAGGCATACAGGAGGCAGCCGATCAATAGTTCTCTCTCATCATTGATGTTTCTATTCCTCTCTCCCTGTTCCTTCCTCTCTCTGAAATCAATAAAAATTTCTAATAGCAAAACTTTTAAAAAGCTTATTACAATTAATAGGAAAAGAATTAAGTAAAAAATGTAACATCTACTCAATGGTATATTAGCAATTTTTTAAAATGATTATAAAGACTATATACTCATAATATTAGGTTACAATTCTAATTTTTTAATATATAATTTATACACTAGTATAATTAGAGTTATCCAATAGTGGAAATACTCCCAAAAATCTAAATAGGTCTGACATCCTTTCAAAATTTTAAGAGCACCTCTAATATGACATTTACAACATGATAGTTGATAAATGATACCTATTAGCAGTATGATCTATTAGCAGTATGAAAACTTGAGGTAACATAATTGCTAAAGTTCAGAGAATTACCTGGAATGAACAAAGAAAGGAACTATTTCAGAGAAGAAGGAAGGGAATGAGGATGATTAAGCATTTAAGAAAAAACAAAAACAAAAAAAACCCTGGCCACTTAATCAGTGGTTCGAGCATGTTTGCAGACTGAAGGGTCGAGGGTTTGAACCTGTGGACCTATCCTGCGTATTTCCCAAGTGGGCTGACCACCTGCTTTTCCACTATCTTAGCACGTGGGGGAAGCTCTCTAAGAGATGGGCTTAGTAGCAACAGGAAGAACCAAAACTGATTCAACTGACCATGAAGGGTGTGAGATGCTGGAATCCGGAAGTAAAGCTGGGTGTGGTGACCAAACTCCTAGGACTTCTCCGCACCTGGTCAGGCCCAGCGCTTGTGCTGCCCTGAGCCACGGAAGGGAGTACAGAACTAAAAGAAATCGGATAACGTGTGCTTCCCAAAACCTTTCAGTCCCCAATCAAGTCTTTAGAGTCCCCTTGACTGATGCTCAGAACTTCAGCTTCTGGAGGTCCCACGATCCAGGAGTGCGCCCGGAAGAAACCATGCCGTGGATCCGGAGCCCTCGTCACTGCCTCATTAAAAGCCCAATGACCAGGTCAGAAGGAGAGGGGGGAGGAGGGAGGGGGGAGGGGGAGACTATTCCCTCCACTCAAATCCTTAGGGACTGTTTCATCGCTATTCAGAGTTAGGGAATAGAAGAGGTATTTTGAGTCCTACCAGGGAAAGTAAGACTCAAAAATTGGGCAGTGGTGGCATTCAAAGGAGGTAAAGATTTGTCTGTCTTTGTTTCGCCATGTGGATATGACTTCTGAGCAGGCACAAGACAACTGTCTTTAGCATTCCTGAGGGAACCCTCCCTCTGTTGCTGTCTCCCGCCCTCCAGCCACCATCCATCGGCAGTAATCCTACTTCCTCATCACTGCCCCTGCCCATTCTGCCGAGGCAGTCTTGAGCTATATTTAAGAACCCCCACCACACACACACACACACACACACACACACACAGATGCACATTCCGGCCTAGCCTGACTGAATACGAGACCCTCTCTTTTCCAGGTTTATGGATCACTCTCTCCTCAGTGACAGACTATTCAGTCTGTATTGAGCAAGATGTGCTTGCAGAAAGACAGGATGGTCCGTGGAAGGAGGACAAAGAAGGGGAAAGAGGAAAAAGGTGCCCTGGCCCTGATGGCTGACTAATGGGAGGAGGAGATTGAAAAAGTGGAGTAAATTTTAGATTGGACCAGAAGTCACTTCTATGCTCTGAACGAGAGGGGGAGGGAAGTTAATGATCTCAGTGCCCAAATTCCTGAGGTCAGGTATGTGAGAAGTTCTTGAAGCAGCCAGAACGTGGTGCTTGCTTTGGGAAGACCACCACAGGGGGTCCTAACCCCACCCGCAGAAGAGGTCAGAGTTACAGATCTGGGAAGTCTCACGGGTCCTCACGATGCTCAGGGCCTGGAGTAGTTATGCTCTCGGAAGACACTGCGGCCTCACTGTGTGTGTTGGGGGCGGTGGGGGGAAGGGGAGCAGAGGAAGTCCTCTGACCACAGGCAACCGAGGTCCACCCAGCCTTCAGGCAGGAGGCTGCCTCCACACCAGGCTCTGCTGATTCTGACCCAACCTGGGGGCCCAGGGCCCGGAACAGCAGCAGAGAACAGGGATTTTACAAAGAGTTTGATTTTATTGATATTTAAATATATTAAATATTTCACTGAAATACATGGTACATCCCCCTCCCCCTCCCACAGTGGTTACAGTATAAAACCAAGTCCCTGGGCCTCCTTTCCCCTGGTTTCTCCCACCAACCAGTGAGGAGGGGACAGGATAGCCCGGGAGAAGAGCATGGCTGGCACTGTGGTACAGGGAGCCGGGGAGTGGACAGGCCCTTCCCGCCAAGCAAGAAGCAGAGACAAGTCACCCAAGACTGCGGTCTTCCCACCCTGGTCTCCTTACACCCTCACCCCCACCCCTTGTCTCCAAGCAGTCCCTTCCTATCCAGGGATATGGCTGGACGGAGGGAGGCTGACATTCTGTCTGGACCAACTGGTCTTTCCCCCTCTTCCTGCCTTGTCCTAACTAAGTGCCTAATGGCCTGTTTGGTTGATGCATGGAGAGTCCCCAGAGGCAGGCAGTTCAAATCAGAAACCGGGCCTCTACCAGGGGCTAGAGACAGAAAGCGCATCAAGAAGGGAACTTGCCCTTTCTACTCCCAACCCGGCAACTCTGGAACCCACTCTCCTTTGCCTCTGATCACCGCCAAGGCAAAGCAGTCTTTAAGCAAAATTCAGGCTTAAATAGGTACAGACAGAGAAACCAAGGCACCAACTAATTCGGGCCAGAGGCAAGAGGTTGCAGGGAAAGGGATAAAAAGAAGGCAGGGATAGGACAGGGATAGAGAATCCAGCCTCCTCACCCTCCTGCCAGCCCTTGCGGGCTTCGTGGGGGTTGGGGAGCCAGAAACATGCTCAACTTTGGGCTGAAGGCCGGGGAAGGCCAACTTCCAGGTTCCCCTCCCCCACCCCCTAGTACCAGTATCCGGGTCCTCAGAAGGATCCCATGTTACCCCAGTACCAAAGCACACCTCACCCCAGGACACCAGCTGGGAAACCCAGGAGAGCCCTGAGCCTCTGCCCACCAGACCCCAGACAGCTCAGGCTGGCCTCTGCCCAGGCAGGGAGATGGTTATGCTGCACACATGGCCCCAAATGGCACTTAGGGATTTGGCACAAAAAGGACTCTTCTCCCCAGGGACCCCTTCTCTTGCCAGGACACCAAGTCCACTCCTGTGCAGCCCGGGTGTCTCTCTCCATCCTTTGAAACCCGACACGCCGCCTTTTCCCAGAAGACAGAGGCCCGCAGGAGAGAGGCAGCCTGGGTGGAGAGCTGAGGAACGGGAGCACGAAGGACACAGTCCTGGACGACAAACACGCACACGAAGACCGACATGCACACACACGGCACAGACACACAGGCCCTCCCAGTGCCAAAGGCTTGGGAGGACAGTTTGGGATCAAGGTCATCTTCCTCCACGCCCCGGCCCTTTCCTAACTTGGCAATGGACGTGGTGGAGACGCTCCAGCCCCCCTTGCCAGCAGGCAGCGAGAGAGCACAGGGGCAGGGTGACCTGGTCCTGACCGCTGGGCCCTCAGACCAGAGTCCGGCCCCACCCCCCTCCCTGGCCAGCCGGCTCTCTTTGGCACCTGCAGGTGAATTTCCAGGCCCTGCTCTGACATCCCCACACACATGCCTGCTCTCTGGCCGGGCATTTTCACAGTACCAGTGAGGCCAGACGCCCCTTTCCCTGACGCTTTGCAGGAACTGGGGCTACGTCTGAGCTGTCAGAAGTCCCTTTGTTCCCCTTTGGGGACAGATCGTGGGACTAGGATTTGGCAAATGGAAACATTCCCCTGAAATATGGACAGAACTGGGTTCTGAGAGCATCTCCCTTCTCTGCCTGTGCCTAGGAGGGAGACCTGGCTGGGGTCAGGGGGCCCCAGGACCGTGCTGGGGGTGCAGGCATAGCAAAGGCAAGCATGGAATAGGCACTCTTCACACCTGCCCCAGTCTTCGTACAAAGTATTCCCGGGAAAAAGGGAAAAAAGGGCCCAGCCCTGAGCCCACTGCCCAGACGGGGAAAGGGAGGCACGGTAAGCTGTCATTTCCACCTTTCCGGCAGGAGGGCTCCCACCGCTCCCCGCTCCCCTGCTCCCAAAAGCTGGAAGAAAGGAGAGAGAGCAGCCCTGCCTCAATTTAAAAAGAAAGTTACTTACAAAACCCTCTTGGTATCCCCTCATTCTCCAGCCGGAGGGCAAATGAGCATGGTCCAAGCACAGCCTGCTGGGTGTTCCCTTTTGTGGTCAGCAGGGCCTTGAGGTACAGCGCCCCCTGCCACAGCTTCATCCAGCAAGCACAGAGTCCACTCAGATGCCCACCTTGGTCCCTTCAGCTAAACTAGTAGCTGGGCCCTGCTAACTGCTGGGGCCCCCATTGAGGAAGTAAGTGGTCATCTCTCCTTTGCCTTTCACCTTGACCACGCCTCGACACTCCAGCTGGTAGCCCTTGGCAGCTAGAACCTGGTATAGGTCCGTGGTCACCTAGGAGGAGGGGAAGTGAGACTGCTTAGCTGGGATCCTTCCTGCTACGTTTGTAGGGGCCCAGGGGTCCTCTCATCACACCAGCTGTCCTCCCTCAACCCCCACCCCACCAACCACCCTATCCCTGTCCTAAGGATTGCAGAAAAGGACCCACAGACGCCCCCTGGACCCATACCTGACCAAGCCTCTGCTCACATGCCCCTCACCTGGATCCGGTCAGGAACCCCTGTGCTGTCCATCCGGCTAGAGACGTTCACTGTGTTCCCCCAGATGTCATACTGTGGCTTCCGAGCCCCAATGACGCCTGCCACGACAGGGCCCATGTTCAGACCTGGGGTGGAGAGAGCAGGAAGACATTTGAGATGAGTGGCTTTCCAGGGTCAGCCAGGAGTCATGTCACCTCCTGGCACCTTTAGAAGGACCCAGAGAAGCAAAGGGACAAGTGTCCTGGTTGTAAAGAATGGTCCTGTCAGGTGAGGAGCTCCCCGGAGGCAGGACGGCCCTGCTGGGACAGCAGCTCACCCACTGAAGGTGCGCTCTGTGCCAGCCACTCTGGTAAGCATTTCCATTAGTAAACACTAATGGAAATCCTCTCAAAAGCCCTCAAAGGTAGGTATCAGAATCCCCACTTTCCAGATAAGGCAAGTGAAGCTAAGAGAAGGTGGATGACTTGCTAAATAAGCCAGGAAGTGAAATATCCAGAATTCAAACCAGACAGTCTGACTACAGGACCTATGCTATTAACCACTGCCATCCTCAGTTCATCACACTGGCGGTAGGGAAGGGCACAGGTACTGGAGTCGACATAAACCTGGTTTGGAATCCCAGTTCAACCACTGACTAATTTCTTAATCTCTGAGAGTCAATTTCTTTATCTGTAAAAGGGGATGACAATGTGAGGATTAAAGTGTGGAAACGGCCGGGACCGGTTTGGCTCAGTGGATAGAGCGTCGGCCTGCAGACTGAAAGGTCCCGGGTTCGATTCCGGGCAAGGGCATGTACCTTGGTTGCGGGCACGTCCCCAGTTGGGGGCTGTGCAAGAGGCAGCCGATCGATGATTCTCTCTTATCGATGTTTCTAACTCTCTATCCCTCTCTCTTCCTCTCTGTGAAAAATCAATAAAATATATATTAAAAAAAAAAAAAAGTGTGAAAACGGCACATAGTTGGCCCTCCATGAATGGTTTTTGTCCTTCATATCAGTCAATGAAGAGAAAGGAAACTGACAGGTGTCCCGATGGGGGATCTGTGATGCATCCTGCCTGGTCCCTAGGCTTTCCCCAGAACCAGCCCTGGGAATCCCCCCAGCCACCAGGCGCCCTCACCAATCTTCATCTGGAAATTGTTGAAGGAGTGCTCATTGATGTGCTTCATCTGCTCCATCAGCCGCATGGCGTAGTCTGCGAGGGCAGTGATGTGGGAGCGGCCCACCTGGTCGTAGGTGCTGGCGTTCAGCCCCGAGGCAGCCATGTAGGTGCTGCCAATCGTCTTGATCTTCTCCAGCTGCCGGAACCGCTCCTCACTGATGATCTGGACAGCACAGGGGACCCCAGTGCCAAAGAGGGTCAAAACCAGCCCTGCCCCCAGTGCCCATTCCTGCCCCCAGTGCCCTTCCCCACTGCCCTGTCTCATCAGCTCCCCTCTTTTAGTGAGAGAGCCTCCCTCGCAGCTGCTGGTCTCGGAGCAGGACTGAGGGGCCAGGAAGGCCGGCCCCCTCACCAGGCAGCCATCAGAAAGAACCCAGGCCCGGGCTTGAGCGCTCAGCTTCAGGTCCACTCAACAGCTCCCTCACAGAATCCAGACCACAGAGGGGGTATCAGGCATCAATTATTCCAACCCTGACCTCGGGGAAACCGAGTCCCCGAGTGGGGAAGCGTCTCCCCTCCAGAAGAGGGGAAAGCCCGCCCCTGGCCTGGGTGTTAGGACACTTCCTCATATTTTGCTTCTATTTCCTCCATTTAGGGGACCATCTTGCTTACTTGGCCTCATCGGGCTCTGTCCATAGACTCTTGCTTTCCTCTTCAATGACCTTCACCTGGTTCCTATCCTGACTCCTCCAGATCCTCCTGTCCTCCTTTGCTCCCTAACAGTGATGATCCTACCCCACAGGGGCTCCCCTCTATGCCGCCTCGTAACACTTCATGGGTCCCTAT